TTCTAGACTGTATCTTGGATATTTTGAATATTATATTGTGAGATTCTAGGTCCTATTAAAATCATCTGGAAAAATGTGCATTTTAAAAGTGTTTTAGTAGGCAATCAACTCAGGTTCAATCAATTTTGTCTCATCTTCAATGGATGGTGGTTCCAATGTTAGTTTTCAGAACCTTTGCTATGCTATTTTGATCTGCCTAGCAGATGTACTACTCATGGAATTAGTCAGGGACTTGAGTGGTGATTTAAATGCAGCTTAATTCTTAAAGACTGTGCTATGCTTCTTTGGGCCTATTCTGTACTTACGCAGCTTGGAGGTGAGCCCAGGACTTGAGCTGGTCTCAAAAATAGGAGAGTCCCCTTCTACAGTTCTCTCCTCTCTGGAATTTCTCCCAAACTCTGTAGCTCAAAAGGGCCCTTTTTTCCTAGTTCCTTTGGCCAAAATGACACGTTTCTCTCAGTTTTAGTCTTGCATGCTATCATGCAAATTTACGTGACTGGTGCTGCCCTTGGGGTGAAGTTGTGAGGCAAAGACAGAAAAAAATAAGGACTCACCTTGCACTCTTTGGAACAGTGGGGCCCCTTTTCCCAGTTCCTCTGGCCAGAGAAACTGGTTTACTGGATTTAGATGGATCTTGGATCTAAGATTTAAATTCCTGCAGTCTGACTCCAGATTAATCTGTCTATACTACCTCCTAGTATGAAAAATGATTAGTGAAGTGGTTTAAGCCAAACTTAGTCTTGGCCTCAAAAACCTCTATTTCCTGATACTCAACAAATCTGTACTTATAAGCCATATTTTAGTATAATAATAATTTTTTTAAAAAAAATTTAAAGATTCTGGTACTTAATTTTTTATTTTTGGGTGGCTGGCCAGTACAGGGATCCAAACTCTTGACCTTGGTGTTGTCAACACCATGCTCTAACCAACTGAGCTAATTAGCCAGCCTAACACTTAATTTTCCCACAGCTAATATAAAATAAATTTAAGCAAACCTTTAGCATGTTTCATATTATAACCTGATATTCTGGCCAGAACAGTCTGTATCCATCGTGCCAAGGTCAAAAGTTGAGCAAGAGCTTCTGCATTCTCACTGAAAAATGATTTTTAAAAATTATTAAAGCCATTGGTACAAAGTCAAACTGAAAAACTGAACTTGTAGAGTCTTTCCTTGGATAAATGGCTATATAAAAAGTCAAATTCCTCCAGATCAACTTTCTGGATCACAGAAACATGTATTTATGTATGGACTTAGAGAAAATTATATTAAGTAAAATAAGCCAAGCACAGAAAGAGAAATACCGTATGTTCTCATTTATTTGTGGGAGCTAATAAAAATAAATAAATAAATACACAAATAAACAGTGGGGGTGGCGGGGGAGAAAAAGACACAACAATCATAACAATTCCTTGAACTTGTTAAGACAAGCGAATAGATATGATGTTGATGCAGGGGGAGGGGAGGGAGAGAGAGGGGAAAAGGAGGAATTGATAAAGGGACATGAAAATCAACTACATTGTATACTGATAAATTAAAAAAAAAGAAACATGTATTTAAAAGGATAGCTTTTTGGGAGGGGAGGAGAATTTTAAAAGTACAAGTAATAAGACACCACCCATATGCCCACCACCCAGAAGTAATAAATGCCAGTTAAGTGGAGTCACATTCTTGTTGCTCAAGTCAAAAACTAGGTGTTACCATTGATTTCTGATTCCCTCACACTTCACACGTTAACCTGTTAGCTAGCCTTGCAGGTTTTACTTCTAAATATATCCCAAGTTGATCACTTCTTTCTGCCTCTACCACTACCACTATTACATCTCAGTCACCTCATCTCTCACCTGGACTACTTCAATAGACTCCTAACTGTTCTTCCTGCTTCTACTCCTGTGTTTCATTACTAAGTATGAGTTCATCATACAGAAGCCAGATGAATCTTCTAAAAATGTAAATCAGATCATATCATTCCCCTGTTCAAGACACTCTGGTGGTTTCCTATCATACATAAAATAAAATTCTAACTTCTAATCTTAGCTCATAAGCCCTCTCATGATCTGGCTCTTTGCTTGCTCTATTCCAGGTATGCTGCCATCCTGCTATTCCTAGAACATTCCAACTGCATTCCTAACTTGGGTCCTTTGCTCTTGATATTGCCCGTGCTTAGAATTCTCTTCTTCTAGAGAGCAGCACTGCTTGTCCTTCGCTTCATTCAGGTTTCCACTCAAATGGCACCATCTCAGAGAGGAGCTCCCTGACAACTCTGTCCATAAATAGCCCCATGACCCAGTCTGTCTTTAGCCCTTTACTCTGGTGCCTTAGTTTTCTCATAGTACTCATATTTCTCACTACTCAACACTTTGTATTTATTTGTTTATTGCCAGTTTCTCCTTCCTAGAATGTAAATTTCATAAGGGCAGGGACTTGATTAAAGATCCAAAAAGGGATCAGAAACAGCATTATTAAAAAAGACTATAAAATAAAAATCTGTTTATTGAAAGGACAGATTTAACTTGAGTGAAGTTAAAAAAAAAAAAAATATATATATATATATATATATAATGAACAGTACCGAAATTTATATACCTGGGCACAAATTCAACCTAAAGAATTTTTTCAGTTCTTAAAAAAAAAGTGTACTATAACTGGTTACGATAAATTTTCTTTAAAAATATTATCATATTAGTTCTAATTTTTAATAAATTATATTATAAATTTTGATAGATTTAATAAAAATATTAGTTTTGATGTTTTCATATGCTTCTACCTTTAATATCTTAGATTATACTCATATTGACTTTCTAAAATACAAAAAGGCAAATATATTCAACCACACAGGTAAGTTCAAATACCTAATAAACATGTTATGTATAAGTATATATTTCAGTAACAAATTTGTTGAGTAACAAAATTGTTACTATAGATTAAAATTGCCCCAGGGTTCTAAGAGACATGGTCATAAGGATCAGTTTTCTGACTTTAGAAAGGATTTCCTTGAAGAATCCTATTCTTAAAGCCATCAAAGAAAGAAGTTGCTGAATATTCCTTCAGAGTAATTTATATGTTTAATAATACTTATTTTGGGGAACCACTATGTAAAAAAGGCTTGTACTGTCTAACAAGATGTTGGAAAGTCACCTTATTTCATTATGATTTATTTTACCTTTGTCTTCAGGTGTATAGTTAGGTAAAGCTTTTAAGTCATGTCTGAATTCAAATCCTGGGTCTGTGTTGGGACAAGTAAAAACTACTCAGAGTCTCCAATTCCTTATCTTTATCTTTATTTGGCAGCTGGCTGGTATAGGGATCTGAACCCTGACCTTTGTGTTACCAGCACCAGACCACTTCCTTATTTTTAAATGGAAATAACAGTATCTACTCCATTAGACTACTGTGAGAATTAAATAAGATAATGTATCAAGTGCTTGGTGGAGTATCTAGAACACAGTAATTACTCAACAATGACTAAAAAGATAAATCTTTTTTCACCCTTTTCCTATAAGATGACCTTCTATGTCCCAGTAGGCTGAAGAAGACAATTTCCCAATTAGATTTTCCAATTACATGGAATAGCAGAGACAGGCTAACTACTTATTGACGCTGCTTGCCAAACTTATCACCTTTGAACTCTCCTGTTGTAGGGACGTGTTAAAGGTGTTTTTATCAACAAAACCATTTTCTTTAGCAAAACTTAATTTATCATTACAAATCCAGTGAATTTCAAAGACACTGAAATAATAACAATTATAAATAGTACTGTTATGATATAGAACAGTGAAAATACAGAAATATATAATTAAGTGTCCTAGTTGTCATAAAAAACTAATAAATTTGCTGTTAAAATCCATTCACGGGGCCGAGCCTGTGGAGCACTCGGGAGAGTGGGGCGCTGGGAGCGCAGTAGCACTCCCGCGGCGGGTTTGGATCCTATATAGGGATGACCGGTGCGCTCACAGCGCTCACTGGCTGAGCGCGGTGTGGCTGGTCTCAAAAAGGACAAAAAAAAAAAAAAATCCATTCACGGATGATCAGAATACAAAATTTTAAAAACTCTAAACACTCAAGCACTATCCAAAGTTATATGATGAATCTAATGGGGTTTTTTAAATTAATTTTTTAATTTTTACAGATAACATTTTGTCCATGTCTCTAAAATAATAGCATTTGGATCTTCAGATATATAGTAGAATTAAAAAAATAATACTAAGATCTTTAGAGCTACCTAACTCCAAATAGCAACTCCACTAGTGGCAAGGGGCCATGTGAAAGAAATGAATTTCTTTTTTTTATATCTCTTCTCCTTCTATGAGTGGCTAAGACAGAGATTAGAGTTCTACTACTTTAATGGCTGTTGGAAGATATACGTACAACATATAGATTTGAGTAAATAAACATTCTAGTTCTCTTAGAGACCAAATTTTGGGCTTTTAGTCACATTTTTAAAGTATGATACAAGTTAAGAAATAAAAAATATTAATTCCTTTAAAGAGTTAAAAAGAAACTCATAATCTAACAAAAACAGGCACAAATTAAAGGATTAAAGACAGCTTTTAAAAAACTAACCAAAACATAAATTAAAATATACCTGTTTATCTTTTGAGGTTGCAAAGGGATAATGGGGATTACAGAATTGCACAGAGATTTGCAAAGAGGGCAAAGATATTCTCCACTCTCCAAGTCAAAAAGGTCAACATGAATGCGCTGCTGAGAGCTAAGCTGTACAGCTTCAAAGTACCTGCAAAATTCCAGAGATACAGGTCCATTTACAACTGCACATGTAATTTTGTTCTAATCCAAGTAAAAAAAAATCCGTTATTTTTGTTCCAATAAACATCTTTAGAACCTAAATGCAAAAATACATAAGTTATAATTATAGAAGAAACAGGCTGCCCATTTCTATTGGGGGCAAACTGGAAAATACATCATGGCAGATACAAATTTAAAATAAGTTTACTGACTCACAACTAGTCTCCTGCCTCAACAGCATGGAGATACAAAGTAGACACTACTTTCCTCAGTTTCCAATGAACTGAAGTAGTAAGGGCTATCACAGGAAAATTATATATTTTAATCCAATGTCAAACAGGTAAACCCTATGTAAGACTTCTCAGAAATTACATTTCTGAATTTTATCTTTTCCAAAGATAGAACTAGAACTTCTTGTCCTATTCTGTCTCAAAGTTACTTTTCACTATATGTTTTCAGGGTAATGAAATTTTTACAAAGATTACTGCTTCTTTTACATGAATACTGATAAAGAGCAACTGATTAGTTTGTGGAGAGGAAGCACCTAAAGGAACAGTGAAAATCTTAAATTGACAACTTTACATACTAATTTCCAAGGCAGATAATAATTAGTATCATGCAAACTGAATTAGTAATTAAAATTGCTTAAATTATTCAAATAAGAAGGAAGGAAAGAAGACATGAGAAAACATGCCTTTTTCTGGCCTTTAGTGAACTTCAATGTTCCTAGTCTCTTTCAAGAACATGTCAGAAGAACAACTTACTTCTGCCAGCATGCTGCATGCATTACATGACCACAGCTTCCTGTATAAGTTCCATATGCCAAGTCTGGATCCATAAAAAGTGGGTCCAAGGTTTCTGGTACAGGAAGACAAAAATAAGAATATGTATTCACCTTGCTTCCAAAGTTATATAAAGGAGGAAAAAGAGAAAGAGGTTATCAGGTCTAAAATTCTAATCACAAACTTTCTCAGGAATGTCTAAGGAAAGTGTCACAATATCATGACAGCAGGACATATATTCTTAATAGCAAAAAAAAAAAAAAAAAAAAAAAAAAAAAAAAAAAAAAAAA